TCTTCTGGTGCAACCGACCTTCGAATCTCTTCACCAAACACTTCTACTCGAAATGGAAGTAATCCCAACAGTCATGTTTTTAGACCAGTCCATTGAGTGTCCTGTATTGGCAAAATGTGTTCAGCGAGCTCAGACTTTTGGACGCACAAATCTCGACAAGTGGTTTTGTGTTGGCATAGTCGGCAGGCCTCCCGGCATACTTTACCACATGAGCACAAAACCTTGTAACAGACTGATCTGAAAAGAGGGTGTGAATATTATCTTAACGAAGAAACTACGGAAGAAAGTGATAATTTCTCTTTATGCCTTGTTTTTATGTTCCACTTCTGCGGCAGATCAGCCGACTGTTTCGCAAGCTGACAAAAAGGCAAGATCAGGCACCGAGTGGAATTGTCCACTTCTCTATTCGGCGCCTGACAACAAACTACTTAAGGCTTGTCAACTAAAGTTGCTATGCAATTGTCTACTAATCTTAATGGGTAATTGTTGCGAAACAATTTCCTGGTCCCTCTGCTTTACATCTGCTACACACAGACTCCTTATTATCATAAACTGTATAGCTCCCAGTTTCACTTTATATGCATGCTTGGAGAAGGAATTAATAAGAAACCGGCATCTGTGGGTTTCCTGTATTACATTCTTTGCTCACTTGTACATCCAAAAAAGACAATCTATTTTCCTTTTCTAACTACATGCTAAACTTTGTCTTTGCATCAATTCTATTGATTAGCTCAATGATTTCCTCCAAACTATGTTTGTCGCGTTGCCGAACAGCAAAGTAATCGTCCATACAACGAACTAATGCCTCGTGAAAGACACGAACTTCCAATGTGACCATGTAGTTATTAGCCAAAATAGGGGCCGAGCCCTGTGTCGGCTCACGCAACTCACCGTTGAAGGTCAAATATGTATTACACTTTGCCAAATAGACCAATCGAATGATCGAATCGTTGTCTGACTTTTTACCAGTTTTTATTTCAGGCTGTTGATCTAGCGTTAATGCAATGTTATTGTGCATATACGCTACGTGGAAACTTGCGGGCAAATCTCGTCTTTTGATGTGATTTCAAGGTCTGTATTGCTCCTATTTCGTTTAAGGTTATTTACTTTTACCACAAACATCAAGTTTCCATTGAACTCGGCACGGCCTCAAAATGTCCTCCCTCTCGACTCCTCGACTCGACTCGACTGCCGTCCAGCGGGACTTGAACCCGCTTCTTAGCAGAGCGATGCACCATTTCGACACGGTAACCACTAAATCGTGAGAGGGTAGAAGTGCATTTCAGACCAGTTGACTGAATGCTGTCGAGCCTTGTCTATTCGACGGCCATAATGAAGCCTGCCTACTGACCGTGTCAAAAGTAGTATGACATAACCTGCCGGGAGGCACAAGTTCACGAGTTAATTGCCTCGAGTGCACGCGCTGGGCTGGGCAGCTCGTCTGTCCGACCGCTGTCAGCCAACACCGACAGCCAACACCGACAATTGCATTTAACACGCACCAGCGACGTGCAGACCAGTCGAGTTGGCCAACCGTGGAGCGAGCGAATTGCGTCGAGCCGGCAAAAATGGCGCCAGCTGGACTGCGCTGAAAAGAGACAAACAGTTCAGCCGCAGTCTTATCGATCCACTTGCTCGACGAGCACACAGACTACTGCTACTGCAGCTCGAGTAGCAGTCAGGCGGCAATTCAGACGAGCCTTTTACTAAACAGCCTGCCAGTTGAACCCGAGCCCTCGCACTCACCTCGACTTCACTTCCCGTTCCAGCTCGTCACGGCTCTGCCTCCCTGGCATACACACACACACATACACACGCAGTATATCTCCCAGTGTGCCTGAGTGTATGTGTGTGTGTGTGTGTGTGCGGATTTTTTGCCCGTCTATATTTGTCTCTGGTTCACTCACCTCGAGAGCTCTTTTCTCTTTGGACAAGTTGCCTGCCTGCAGCCCTCGTGGCGCCCTCCCCTCCGCCTCGGGCCGGCACTGGTCTGGGCCGAAATCGATAATGCAAATGTGACGGCTCCCTGTGGATGCGCCTCTTTTGCTTCCGCCCAACAATCGATAGTCTCCAATGCCCTGCCAACTCTCGTTTGTCCTCGAAACCCGACCAGCTTTTCGCCGTCTCCATTTCGCTTCGCGTGTGTCGGTTTGGCGCAGTTTCCTGTTTGCATGCGTGGGCGGCCCACAGAGCGCCTCTGGTCGGTCGATGTGTCTGTGCCACTTGCGCTACACCTGCCGGTTTGTGCTGCAGCGTGCAGGCGACGGCAGATCGCAGGCGCTGGTTCGATTGGCGCAGCCAATCGGCTCTCGGACCTCACGTCGACTAGCTCTCTCGCTCTCTCGCTCTCTGGCTCTTTCGCTCGCACAGCATAGCACAACACGGCGCGATTTTCCTCGCGGCACCTTCCGGGACAGACAGTGTCCGTGTTGCACGAGCCGGCGAGCCGCTTAAGTGCCCGTGTCGTGCAAGCACGCACGCACGCACGCAC